TCTCTCTCTTCGACCATCATCATTCCTCATCATATTCTACTTCTAATTGGTTATGCACTTATATAACTCAATTAGTTAAAGCGCAATACCCTACCCTACAGAAACATCCTCATTATATGTTGACACTTAAGTTTCCTTTGTGTCTAAGCAGTTTCCATCTAAACATCCTCATGATACATGTGTACTTCAGTTTTCTTGTCTCTGCTATTTTCTTCATAGTTTAACAGTTATATTCTTGTATTTCTAAAGCTTTCCAATATCTCCATGTTTTTCTATGAAGTCATTGATCCTTTTAAGGTCCTTAGCATCCACTATTGGTTCTGAAGTCTTACCATGTTGTGAATAACAGAAGCCATCCATGAGCATCGACGAAGTGCATCAGCTGTGGCCGGTGGCTCCACTGTAGGGGAGTCCTCACCACGAGCACACACCACAGAAGGCATATTGCCAAAGGAAAAAACAGAAGGCCAATATGAACCCTTGGGCATAACTATTCAAAATTTCCCTTATGGAGGTGGGTCAACACCTGAACCAGACTCCTTGTTCAAGAATCCAGACCATGTAGGGCCACATAACCCTGTGACCAGTGTGGAGCATCAGTTCATCCCAAGCTTCCAGAGCCTGTCACCAAAGCTTCTAAATGATGAGAGAAACAAGGAAATAGAGAATCTTTCTGCATTGAAGGATTTGTCGAGTGAAGACATAAGCATTGGGCTACACTTGGGAGAGAGAGGGCTCAAGAGTAAAGACAAAAGAATAGGGTTGCACACGGGAGAGAGAGAACTCCAGTGTGAAGACATGGGCATTGGGTTACAGCTAGGAGAGAGAGAAACAAAGAGAGTGCGTTCTGATTTAGCTGTTCATTCTGAAGAATCCAAGTGAGCTGCACAGTTGGATGAAAAGCATACAAAGTAACTGATTCTCTGGGTTTTCAACAGATCTAAGGTAGAGGGAATCATTGGAGTGGAAGTCCATGTGTGCGTGTGTGTGTGAGAGAGAGCGAGAGAGAGAGAAGGCAGCAGGCCATTGTGAACCCCACTCCTATTTGAAGTTTTGAGCTATGCCGAGAGTTTGAAAAGTGAAATTCACTGTGCATTGAGGCTATGTCTTGAAACCTTCAATCAGTTCAGAATTGCATATCAGGTTTAGATGATTTTAGGCGCATATATTGCGTCATTTGATAATGTCTGTTGGCCGTTGTATGAAAGGGAAGGTACGTTTGTGGGAGGGCCTTTTTGGGAGGGCACAAAGGCCTTTGTGGAGGGCCCTTTATGTACTCTCCAGTGCAGAAGAATGTGTTCATTTGTTTTAAATTCTATGAAGGATACAGCCTTCTTAAAAGTTGAAAGGTTCTATTATATATGAGCAAGTGCCAATAAATACCACAGGTCGTCCAGTGTCTTTTCTAACCTTCACTTCTTTTCTTTTATTTATTTATTTATTTTTTAATTTATTTATTTTTTTAATATTTTTTTTTTAATTTTTTTTTTTTTTAATTTGTGGGATGTCCAGCATCTTCATTGTGTGAAATTTTCAGAAACCATGAAGAAGCATGTAATGAAATGCTTATTCGTCTGGCCCCTTTGGTTATTCCAAACATCATAGCATTCTAACCCTAACCCTAGAAGAAGCACACACATGCATGCTCTGTGTGTGTGTGTGAAAAGTCACATGGTAATCCAGAGACAAAATTGCAAGAATAAAACTCACCTACTGTGTCTGTATTCATCATGATGACTCCCCCACATGTTATTCAAAACAATATCATTCCATGGTTTCTGGTAAGTACAAGCCCGCAAGAAGTTCATGAAGCAAATCTTCAATCAGGTGAGATGGCTCATGACAATACAACTTTCTTGGAATCCATGGATAAAATGAAGAAGATGAATTAGAGAATCAGATGATTCAGATGAATGAGATCAAAGTTGTAAAGAATAAAAGAAGGTAAAAGAAAAAACGGGGAAAAAGAATGCCTCTTTACAATGAATTCGCACTCCAAAAAGCAGACCTGAGCTAATTACGCCTCCTTAGCATTGCCATTAGTAGAACTGTTTCCTGCCAAAAGCCTCTCTTTTACCAGCTAAGGTCTCTCTGCAAAAAATCAAGTCTGAACCTTGATAAGAATTGCAACATGTGTGCAGCCAATGCCATCCAATTTGGACGATACTGAAGTGAAGGGGGAGAAAACAGAGAGAAAAAATTCTCGAATGATTCTTCTCAAGTGCTGCAACTGCCACATTGATGTTCAGGAGCTGCTTCCTGCACCCTCAATCGAGATGCCTGTGCGCACGTCCTCTGTTTCATTTTCCAAGAGAGAGAAGAGTGAAGGCCATTCATTATTGACAAAACCCCTTATTGAGACTGCCCTGGTTGACTGGTTGGGAAGCCTATCAACCAGTTCATGATCCACAAATACAACTACAACACTGATGTCATCGTGGAAATGACGCCTGGAGCCAGGTTGAATTGTTTTCAGGTTGGAGTAGTCTGTCGCCCTCTTCCTAGCTGCCACCTCGATAGCTTGCATGACAAGCCTCTTTGCTATTCCCTGCACAAATAGGAAAATTAGAAGTTAATTCTGCACAAAAATCAGAGTTGGGTCTTCTTTTTTTGAAGTTCAGATTTGGGATGGTTTAGATTGAACCAAAGTCCATTGCTCACAGATGGGTCAAAATGATAGGCCAATTTCAAGATTTTTTTTTCTTCAAATTTTTTATTATTAATGGACCTGGTTATTATTTCTCAAGAATGTAAATAACACAATTCCAAATAATTGTGCATGTCAGTTGTGAAAAAATAGTTGGGAAATACACACCTGCCTTGGATTGTTGAACACAAGTTCAGCAGCTTCTTCATTGGAGAGTTGCTCCCATAGACCATCAGATGCAAAAATAAAGAACCTGTCTTCAGGCTTTAAGGGCCTTGTTAGAATTGTAGGCTCAGCTGATAATGCAGCCTTGCTGAGGGGTTCAGCAAGGTGGAATCGTGGGTAAGAAGGGCCCATGGCAAATTCGTGACTCTTCAGATATAGATCACCAATGGATCTTGTGACCTACCAAAAATCAGCAAATCCTATCAGTACTAGATCCAACCAATATGCTTGTATTGCGCTAACTTAAAGACTGTGAAACCAAGAGAGGAACTTGATCGCATATTAATATATGAGATTATATGAGGATAAAAACACTGATATCACTATTCTAAAAACACATTTTGTATTTTGCTCTCACAGGTCCAAACAAGAGGATGGCTTAGGCACATTTACCATGTTAAGAAGAAACATAGCTTACTTAACCAAAAAAAAAAGAAGAAACACAGCTTCAGTATGCGGGGAGAGAGAGAGAGAAAGAGAGAGAGAGAGAGAGAGAGAGAGAGAGAGAGAGAGAGAGAGAGAGAGAGTAGTATACGTACGTACGTACTACTACTACTACTAACTAACAAACGAAACGAAAACGTAAAAACTAAAACTAAACGTAAACGTAAAGTAAAC